GAACAGAAAACCAAACACCACATGTTCTCACTCATAGGTGGGAACTGAACAATGAGATCACTTGGACATGGGAAGGGGAACATCATACACTGGGGCATATTATGGGGAGTGGGGGGAGGGATGGCATTGGGAGTTATAACTGATGTAAAGGACGAGTTGATGGGTGCTGACGAGTTGATGGGTGCAGCACACCAACATGGCACATGTATACATATGTAACCTGCACGTTGTGCACATGTACCCTAGAACTTAAAGTATAAAATATATATATATAAAATAACAAAAACAAAACAAAGCAAAACAAAACAGGTCTTCCCATCTTGGCCAGGAAAGCCTCTGTCTTCCCGCAAGGAGCGCAGGCCTGCGCCTCCCACTTGCCTTAGGCTACTTGGCGCAGGCATCTGGGTCTTACAATGGCTGCTCCTTGTAGTCCTTGAGCCGTGGATGCATCCGACAGCCCGCAAGAGCCTGATATGTGGTGAACTCTGGTCTCACACTCCGCACCGGCCCCTTTGGCCCCGAGGCTGCTGTGGGAGCTGTGGTCCTGCTGCCACGGTGGTTGGCATAGTCAGTACTCATGCTCAGAAGTTTCCAGAACTTCCTGCTGGTTTGGTTATATCGGGAGACAGATGATGGTTAAGAAAGAGGAACTCCTGGGTGTCCTGCCTTGTGCTTGCCAACCCTGGGGTGAGAGATGCAGGAGGGTCAGTATCACCCCCTCCCCAAACTACCCTTCTTAGCCCGAGTCTTCCACTAAGGCAGACCCTGTCAGCTCCTGGTTCATTGGCCCTCCTGGCTTCTTTTCCCTGTGTGGAAGCTGGGACTCACACCAGCTACAGGCACTGGTGGAATCTTCACCACCGCCTTCGGCTTGGGCCACAGATTCCTTTCTGCCTGTCAGACCTGGCTCAGTTTGCTGGGGCACGAAGGTCACAGCTGGCAGGGAATGCAGAGACTGTTGCCGCCGATGGCCATAGGTCTTATAGCATTAGTGATGGACACAGCGAATGCCAACTTCTGTGCTTTGGACTTGGGCCCTCTTTAGAGAGGGGTACTGTGTTCAGGGCACCTCAGAGTATCTTGTGTCCAAGCTCCTGGAAACCTGGTGGCAGCTGGTGGAATGCCTGCCGTAGGGAGCCGTCTGGGAGACTCTGGTGTTGGAAGTCTTGCTCTTACGTATAAACAGTCTTTAAATGAACACTTGTAAAACTGTAACGAGCCATTCATTTATTTGAATGGGGTGAGTTATTAATTTTCAGCAAACTGCAAGCAGCCGTTCTGAGATGAATCGCTTGGAGAGAGTCTGCTCCCCAGGGTGAAGGTCTGCGATGGCCCTGAGGTCTGAACCCATCGCCTGATGTGACCTCGCCTTTTTCTTTCCCCTCAGCTGCCCCACCCCGGGATGCACTGGCTCAGGACACGTCCGGGGCAAGTACTCCAGGCACCGAAGGTAAGAGGACCCTTGGATCTCACAGAGCTTCCTGGGAAGCAGATTTGGAGGCCCCCCACCGCCCGCCCAACTCTGTTCTAGGCCCTTTTGCAGATGGAGAACTTTCCATCTTTTTCCACGGCTCCTGAGGCCAGGCTGCTGACCCTTCTGCGAGGCAGCGACCTCCCACTCTAGCCTGGAGGCCCGTGTGGCCATGGGCATGCCCTGTGGGGAAAGACAGACCATCTGACTTCCCAGCACTGCACTGTGGTTTTCTTGTCTGGGTCCCCTGCAAGAACTGGATGAGTCTGTGGGGGAGGGAGGGAGGGAGGACCCTCGGGAGGGGCGCATGGGGTGGCTGAGGCCTCTCGTGGCCCTAGCCTGGCCCTCTCCACTGCCTACTCCTCCTTCCCAGTTTACAGAGCTGCCCCCTGGCCAAGAAGAGGAAGCTGGAGGGCGCTGAGGCTGAGCACCTGGTGTCCAAGAGGAAGTCACACCCCCTGAAGCTGGCTCTGGACGAGGGCTATGGTGTGGACAGCGACGGCAGTGAGGACACCGAGGTGAAGGACGCCTCTGTTTCGGATGAATCGGAAGGAACTCTGGAGGGGGCCGAGGCTGAGACATCAGGACAGGAGGAGATTCATCGCCCCGAGCCAGCTGAAGGTGCTTTGTCGCTCTTTCTTCCCCGAATAAAGGGTGCTTAGTGTGGCCCTGGAGAATTGCAGCCTGTGAGCGGGGAGGGGCTCACTCTGAGCGAGAGAAAGCTCTTCCTGAGAACAAGGCATGTCTTGTCCCAACATGTGCTGGGCTTCCTGGGAGAGAGGTCTGCCCATGGTGTTTGTGGGGCCTGTGGTGTGTTTGTGTGTGAACACTGTGTGTGTAGGAGGGAGGCAGGGCAGACACAGACACGCGGCTGGTGTGTGTGTGTGTGTGTGTGTGTGCAGTTGTAGCATGTTTCGGCAGGTGTCTGCATGTATATGAGAGACAGACAAGGCTGTGTGTCTGTGTGTGGGGAAGGGAGGGTCTTAGACGGGCCCTCTGGGAGACCTGCCTGGGGCATGGGTGAGAGGTCTGCTTTCCCCTGAGGCACTCACAGGCAGATGCGGAGGAAACACCTCAGGTTGAGTTCAGGTGATTGAGGACCAGGTGGGGCCTCTGAAAATGGGGTGCCCGGGAAAGCCAAGACGGGAAGGAGGAAAGCAGATGAGTCCCCCATTTCCTTGGGGGGTCTACCAGGACTGCCATGTTGGGGCACCGAGCCCTTGGCGGAAGTGGGTGAAGCAGGTGCTTTGGCCCCTGGGTTCCAGAGGGAGGGGTCCGTACCCCTGAGAGCCCTGGCAGATCTGTAGAGACCTGGGGTCAGACGAGGCCCAAGGTCCGCTCCCCCTGCCATCCCCACCACCCACCCAACACTCCCCAAGCTTCTGCAGTGGGGAAGGGTCTGAGATGGATTTTAGAAGCAAAGCCAGAGAGGGTCCTCAACCCCAGCTCCCTAGGGGGGCCCTGGAGTGAGTGCGCTGCCCCGAGGAATCAACATAGTCCTAGATCGCAGGGAGAAGAGACACAGATTTTCCTGCTTTCTTATCAAGAAGGGCATCTGGAGTTGAGGCATCATCCTGGGCTTGGACTTTCCCCTCCAAAGTGGGTGGATGGCAGGGCCTTTTCCTACCACTGTGGGACGTGCTGGCCCAGGCGTCCTTGCTGACAACCCTACGGGGCCTGCGTGTGGTGAACACCTACCATATCTTAGTTTTGTTTTGTTTTTGTTTCGAGAGAGTCTCACTCTGTTGCCCAGGCTGGAGTGCAGGGGCACAATCTTGATTTAGTGCAATCTCCTCCTCCCGGGTTCAAGGAATAGCTGGGACTACAGGCGTGCACCACCATGCCCAGCTCATTTTTGTATTTTTAGTAGAGACAAGGTTTCGCCATTTTGGCCAGGCTGGTCTTGAGCTCCTGACCTCAGGTGATCCGCCTACCTCGGCCTCCCCAAGTGCTGGGATTACAGGCGTGAGCCACCACGCCCATTCTTATTTACTGCTTTTCAATTATGAAACAATTATTATTTTTTAAAATCTGACTTGCTGCTTAAGCTCCATTGTATACAGTGCAGGTTGATCTGATTCGGAAAGTCAACGTGATGAGAGAGGAACATTAAGGAAAACTATCCAAGTAATTCTTAGTTTAGAAAATACATCAGTGGCCCATGACCTGCCTCCTGAAATATGTTCACCATGATTTCTGGATTCAGGCAGAAGGGTTGACAGAAAGTCCATACCAAATCCCCACTTCGGGAGTTTCGTGTTTCCGCTTGGCTCCCGTGTAAAGAGTGAGTGGTAGGTCAGGTGGAGGGGTGGTGGGTGTGTTGGGGACTGGAGACCTGGAGTCTTCCCACATGCTCTCTGGCCCCCACGTTGATTTTGATTTTGTGCAGGAAGGAGCCCCATCAAGTCCCATTTTGGATCCAACCCCACTGGCTCCTCCAAGGGCAGCTATAGCAGTTACCAGGGAATCATCGCCACTTCTCTGCTGAACTTGGGTCAAATTGCTGAAGAGACTCTGGCGGCCAAGCCAGGCCCTGGCGTTGTGCACCTGCTTCAGGAGGCCACAGAGGGAGCCGCCAGCGAGGAGGGTGAAAAGGGCCTCTTCATCCAGCCAGAGGATGCCGAGGAGGTCGTAGAAGTCACCACCGAACGCTGCCAGGACCTGTGTCCCCAGTCCCTGGAGGATGCAGCCAGTGAGGAGTCCAGCAAGCAGAAAGGCATCCTGAGTCACGAAGAGGAGGATGAGGAGGAGGAGGAGGAGGAAGAGGAGGAGGAAGAGGATGAAGAAGAGGAAGAGGAAGAGGACGAGGAAGAGGAGGAGGAAGAGGACGAGGAGGAGGAGGAGGAGGAGGAGGAGGAGGCAGCTCCTGATGTGATCTTTCAGGAGGACACCTCTCACACCTCTGCCCAGAAGGCACCTGAGCTCCAGGGCCCAGAACCACCCAGTCCCAAGCCTGAGTACTCTGTCATTGTGGAGGTCCGCTCGGATGATGACAAGGACGAGGACACCCACTCCCAGAAGTCAACAGTCACTGACGAGTCGGAGATGCACGACATGATGACCCGGGGCAACCTGGGCCTCCTGGAGCAGGCCATTGCCCTGAAGGCTGAACAGGTGCGCACGGTCTGTGAGCCGGGCTGCCCGCCTGCCGAGCAGAGCCAGCTGGGCCTGGGAGAGCCAGGGAAGGCAGCAAAGGCCCTGGACACTGTTCGGAAGAGCTACTACAGTAAAGGTAGGGGTCAGGGGTGGCCTGGCCCTGCAGACTCACCCTTTCACCCCTGCCCCAGTGTACGAATGCAGGCTGAGAGCCCTTCTAGGACAGGAGGCTGGGAGATGGCAGAAAAGTAGACAAAAGGACAGATACGTGACACAGACTGTGGTCAGATACCGAGCAGATGGGTTCCCGCACTGCTTTCCAGAGCAATCGTAGAGCGGAGACGTGTGAGAAAGAACCGGGTGGGAGAGAGGAGGTGGGAGGGACAGTGACCCACCTACAGTGACTGGTCACAGCAGCATCTGGGATCCGGAGAGGGTGGGGACTGTCCTGTCCCTTCCACCCCAACTCACACTTGTGGCAGGGATTGTGCTATGACAGAACCCGCTGTTTCCTACAGCCATGCTGGGTCATCCTGATCCTCTCGTGGAGCCCAGCAGGCAGAGGTGAGGGGTGCCCTTCTCCTCAGAGGAAGCAGCCTGCCACTGGCTCTGCATCTGCTCTGGATTTGGCTCTAAAGTGTGCAGGGTATAGGGGAGGCATCCCCTGACCGTACTGAGTGGCTGATGTTGAGGTGAGGACAGACAAGGAGGGCTGCTTGGAGGGGCTTGGGACTGGGCTGACATGGTTGGGGAGCAGCTGGGAGCCTGGAGTGCTCTGGTCTGAGGACGAATCCTGAGTGAACGGTTGCGGCCTTCACTGTTACTGGGGTGTCAGGGTCTGGACAGCAGGCTGGCTCTGCTGTCTGTCCATCTCAGATTCCTCCTTGGGACAGGGGCCTGGGGAGCAGGGCTGGCCAGGGGCTGCTCCCTCAGTGAGCCATGCCAGGGAGGCCAGGCCTTGGACAGGTCAGCTTTGGCTCACCTGGCCTGGTGCAGAGAACCTTCTGCACCTGGGCACTTGGCCTCTCTTCTCCTAAGACTGGGGACCTGCCCGGACCTCAGCCTATTTTTTCCCCACGTCTAGTCCTGCATCTCTTCTCCAGGTGGACGGGGGCAGTGGGAGTTCTTGGCACTCTTCCAATGAGTGCCCCCAGGAAGGGTTAGCTGAGACCAGGGAGGGGCAGATAAGGAGAGAGAACTGGGATGGGAGGTGACTCAGGTGCTGGAGCCAGGAACCAAAAATGCAGGAGACACAGACTCAAGGTCAACCCTGGGAAGACGCACTTGGCTCATGGGAGAGACAGACCTGAGCAAGACATAATTCAAGGAGCATGATAGGCATGTCAGTGGAGACATGAGGGACATATTTTCTGGGAACACCCAGGCTTATGAGCCAAGCCCAGGGGAAAGATACTAAGGGACACAGGTGGGACATGGTTTCAGGGTGAGATGGACCCCAGGCTTTGAGGGGACACCCTTTAGGGCAACCCAGATGGCGGGACAGCTCTTTGGGGACCCAGATTTAAGTCAGCACCGTCATGCTCCAGCCTTGTGGGGCCATGGGCACAAAGAGACACAGGCTAAAGGTGAGACTTAGGGACAGGTGTTAAGGGCCTGGTGTGGCGTGCTTGGGCCACACAGATCAGCGCAGAATTGGGTGGGACACGTGTGAGGAACAGAGACACCAAGTGACAGCCCCAGGCCCAGGTTTTCAAGGGTCTCAGACCTGTGGGACAGACACAGGGGGACCCAGAGGCAAGGTGTCCTGCCTTCAGGAATCGATTTTCAGTGCATGGACCCAAAGGGACACAGCCCCGGGTGACACAGGTGGCCAAGCTGAGAACACCAGGCAGTGCCGGGCTGGGCTGTGAGTGTCTGTGCAACGTGAACGTGTAGTAGGATAGAGACGAGACTGGGACTGCTTCTAAGGGACTCGTGTGGGGACCCAGATGCAGCGAGAATTCTGAATGGAGGCTGTGGGACGGGGCGGCAAGCCCAGGAGGCAGGTGTTGGGCACGGGTTTGGAAGCCCCTCAGGACCCCGCTGCCTGTCCACATGGGTGGAATTCTGACTTCCTGCTCCTTTGAGCTGGGGGCAGCAGGGCAAAAGCTCCTTCCTTTTGGAGCCCACCGTCGGGGCCTCCCCCTCTGGAGTGGGAGTTCCGAGTTTGGCTCTGTGACCTCTGCACCCTCCCAAAGGGGCAGCTCGTCCAAAGGTGTTTCACTGAGACGTCAGCTCTGTTCTGAGGGTCCTCTGTGCTCCTGCTGGTCCCTGCACTCTGTAGTGACCAGCCTGGTCCTGCAGAGTCTAGATGAGGTCAATAACAGATGTGGGTTTAAATTTCCGCCCAGACGTATGTTAGTCATGCAGCCTTGGATAAGTTTCTTAGCTCCTTCGTCCTCCTCGTTTTGTCAAATTCCAAGGACATCTCCTGGCAGGAATGTTGCCAAACGCCTTGACCTCTCTAGGCAGAAGCCTGACCCATGAGGCCTCCGCACTGTCAGAGGAGAGAGGAAAGAGGACTCCAGCTGCCGTCTGGGTGGTTCTCCGTAAAACACTGCACAAACCGCTATTTGGGTTGGTCAGGGCAGTATCAGGGCTTTTGCACACAGGTAGCCAGTGTGGGCTGGTTTCTTCAGGGTCACCTGACTGTCCAGCCCCAGTCCCTGTCCAAGCTCATGGGCAGTCTTGCCTCTCTTCTCTCTGGACAGCCAGAGAGAGGGGTCCTGAGCTACCCCTGCCCACTCTCTGCTCACCACCCAGCTTCCGGGCTCTAACTGATGTGACTTGTGTGTTTTAGATCCTTCAAGAGCTGAGAAGCGTGAGATCAAGTGTCCAACACCAGGCTGTGATGGCACTGGCCACGTTACCGGGTTGTACCCTCACCACCGCAGCCTTTCTGGCTGTCCCCACAAGGATAGGATCCCCCCAGAGAGTGAGTAGCTCTGTGCCGCGTTAGCCCTAACTCTGAAGCTCAGGCTGCCTCTGTGGTGTTTGGGTGGTGTCTATGGGGAGGCGTGGCCTGCCCAGGGCCATAACCTGCCCCTTTGGTTTGTCCAGATGCTCATCCTTACATCTCCCCGCCTCCCCCCACAAATGGCCTTAGCCCAAACTTGAGCCCTTTGAGGCTGGGGCCCTGCAACCAGCCCATTTGTCTACCTGGAGACGCCAGTCGGGGTCAGAGCCCACAGTCACAGATCGATGGGAGGGGACAGGCCAGTGCCAGCCACGCTGGGAAGGGAGAGGTCTTCTTGCAGCAACCTCTGTGCTCCGAAGGCTTGGGAAGCAAATACTTCTTCTAATTTTTAGGCTAGAAGCAGTAATTGTGAAAATTAAATTTAAAGGAGCAAACCACAGAATGAGAGGTTTTAAAGCTGAGTCTGGTTTCTGCCGCAGGAGGGAGGGACCACAGTGGTGGTGGGGGG